CTCGTCTCAAGGCTAAGAAAACGGCGGCAGCAACGAAGAGTGATTCTTCTGTGCCCGCCGACACGACCACTGAATCCATCGCAGCAGCAGAAACACCCGCCGCCGATGATCCTTCCTCCTCCAGTTCCGAATCCGACACCACCACCGGCACGGAAGCGGACACCGAAGAGTCGGTGACGTCGGAGGAGGAGGAGTCGGATAAGGCAGACAATCCTGCAAAGGATGGCGCCAAGAAGGAAAAATGGGTCGCCGTCAAATCGCAGACACCCGCTGCCGACCCCCAGCCTGAAGTGACTGAAGAGACTACCCCTCATAAATTGCGCATCTCGAATCGAAATTCGGACTGGACTGGCTCACTCCATGCTCCTCTTCCCTGCTCGGGATCACGCCGCTAATCTGTCGCTATCTACATCTACTACTGGTTCCTCGTGTGTTTCGGTTATCCTGCCTGTGTGATACGTTTAGACGGAATGGCATTTTCTTTCGTGGATTTCGTTTATCCACTCCCCCCCCAATGCGTGAATCTGAGTCCTGAGTGCAGGAAGGCGATGACATTGTCTAGATATCCGACATGGCGTGTAGCGTATATTTATATTAAAGTGTGAATCGTGAATGAGGACGGGGGCTCGCATAAATTTTATGTTGGCTTGACATTAACGTCCGATAGAGTCTTGAATGCTTCCTTGTATGCATCGAGGAGCGCCTTCACCCGTGCCCGCTCCGCCACCAGCCCCTCATCCTCGTGGAGCATCTCTTGGAAAAATTCAGGCTTGTAGAGGGATGCGACGAGGCGATTCTGCACATGATACGACGTGTGGTTCACGAGGAAATGCATGATCGCTTTGGGTACGAGGTCCTGGATGCTCTGACGGACAATCCCGAAGTATGATGCGATGAGAGAGCGGATGAGAGACGTCTCCATCTCCTCTCGGAGGGTGAGGTGATTCCCATCGGAAGGGATCTTTGGAATATGCACACGGTCAGTCCGGTGGGATAGGAAAACAATGGAACGTGCTCACAGCTTCGATATGTTTCCCCAGACTTTTCATATCGTACGCAGCATTACTGCCATCGCGCTGCCCCGCCAATCCAGACGCGATCGTCATCATATTGGAGGTCTCTCCGGCAGAGACATCACGTCCCACAGGCACGACGCTCTGACCGCTACCACTGTGACGAGTCTGGTGCCCAACATGTTCTACACTCGACCCTGCAATTGGACCCGGTCCATTCTGGCCAAAGAAGTAGTTCAAGAAGGTCTCCCGTGCAGATGGCGGAGAACCACGGTGCGTCTGTGCCATGGCAGAATGGGGTCGCTGCTGATTTGGGATCCTTCTTGCCGCCGCCGCGGCCGTGCTGTTAGGCAACGTGGGTGTAGATCCAGTCGATGTCCGGGCACGGTCATGTATTGTGGCGGACACCGAGCGTTCGTTGTTGCGGGAAGGGAAAATGCCATTGGGAAGCCCATTTTCATCTGATGAGTCGGCGTCATCGTCCGTTCCAGTGCCATTGGTAGGCTCAGTGGATGCAGGCTAGTAAATAACCGTTGAGACTAAAAAGAAAAGCGAGCAGGTTAAAGGAGGCTCACTCGTATAGGTATCTGCCGAGCCGGTGGCGAACTGGCTTGCTGTGCAGCGACAGCAGATCCAGAAATGAAGGCGGGGTGGTTGGTGTTAATGTACGCCGCCTGTATTGCGATCAAACTCTGCGCATATTCGGATGTGGGACCCAGCCGCTCCCGTAACAGCTCGGAAACGACTTCGATAAGTTTAGCATGCAGGCCAGGAAACCGTTGCAGCTCCTAAGACATCATCGTCAATTGCTGGACATACCAGAAGCGAGGAAATACCCACCGTGCTAGTGCAGTTGTGGCAGATCTTGACGAGCTCCTCGTATACGAGCTCTACACAGCGCAAACTCGGAGCCTCCAACAATTTAATCTGGGGCTTTACCAGGAGATCGAATGCGATTTCAGGGACGAAGAGGCTTGGACGAGGTCCTGTGGAATTACGGATTGCAGTTCGAATGTCCTGGTTCTCGAGGTTGGCCGTGGAATCGATTGAATCGAGGGCGTGTCCAAATATATCGTTGAAAATGTAGTATATCCGGGCACCACCTGAGAGCTCCTTTGTGGAAATATCAACCTTCGTTCCCTCGATTGAAGAAACAAAGTCGCGGGCAAACTGAGTCATTAGACGCAGAATGAGAGCTCCTTGCTTTAGTGACTCGTGAGTTTGCAGGGAAGGCAAGTGATTTAACGGCACGAACCTGATTTTGGTCCCCAAAACTATCCGAATCACCAAACGAGTTGAGCTCCTGTTGAGCCTGGCCCATCAAGGTGTTCAGCCGAGCCTTCATGTCCGGAAGCTTGTCTCGAATGTGGTTCATCAGGACCTGCAAATGCTAAACGCCGTTTCCCTCAGAGGCAAAGCAATGAATCACACCTGGTTGAGGGATTTAGCCAAATATTTTGTTCCATTCTTGTGGGCAATATTTCGATATGCGGGGTGGTTCTTGAAGAACTCCGTTTCGCTATTCAGCGCTGCTTCCATGCTCTTCTCCCCATTGATGTCTTGCTGACTGCGATTTACAACACCGATAAATCCAAGCTTGAGCGGGTAGACGCGGCCTGTTAAAATGTCTAAAGCATTGGTCCCGGCATCCATCAAATCCAGCTTCGTCAGAACGCCGATCGTGCGCCGGCCTTGTGGGTCGACTTGACGGGCGAGCTTGAGAGACTCCGAATTGGCCAGGTCAACATTGGCCGGTGAAACAGAAAGGATCACGCTGTGGATTGGCGCGTAAACATTTCGTTTTAGAGCGAGATGTAGGCACACACCTATTTGGTTTGGAAATATAATCTAGCACCAGATTCCGAATTTGCCGTTCAATATCACTTGGTTGATCTCCAACAGGAATCTCGAAACCTGTTAGTACTTGGAGTAGTATGACAATGCTTAAAAACGCACCTTGGTTAACCCAGGTAGATCGACGAGGGTCAAGTCCAGAACGTCGGGACTGTAAATTCGGAGCGATATAGGCAGCTTGCTAACACCCTTGTTTTGCCCCGCCACTCGAAAAGTTTCCTGCTCGATCTCCTTGCGAATCTCGTTGAATTCGGTGAATTTCTTGTCTATGTGGAGAAATTGCGCCCATTCCCGAAACGTTGGGCTGTTTGGAGACGGATCGTCGGATACGGGGGTGTGGATTAACTGTAGGACTAAAGGCCGACGTGTAACGATGCCCTGGCCACGAGGAAGAAAGTCCCGTCCAACGATGCTATATTCCGAGAGCACATGAGAGAGTGGATGTCCGCAAGATCCTGGCAACCTACGTCTCGAGAACACTAGACTTTCCTGCTGATTGACTGCCCACCTGGTGGCAAGTTAGTCTGGAAGTTTCAAACCAGCTCAATTCGACGCACAACTACAAGCTGGGGCATGTCCAGCTCCCCTCCTTTGAAAAAAGTTAAATACTCCACCGCAGCATAAAAAGTGACGATAGACAGACCCAAGTTATTGAAAGTATCCTGGAGCTTGTTCACTAGCTTTATGAGGTCCGTATCCATATTGGAAGAAGACAAGAGCTACGGCCTAGAAAACGCGTAAAATAGACAACGCAGCGCGCGTCGTCACGGCAAGGCAATTTGCTTTGGCCTTGTTGATTTACTGCATTTGATTCCGGCCACACGAAACGAAAACGTTCGGCAAAGCTAAGTACAGCCTTACAGGTATTACATCGAGTTCAAGAATCGTAACAAATCCTGTCGGTTCGCCTCTCGCTCCTCGTCGCCCTTTTCCTTTTTAACCTTGAGTTTAATCTGGCGATAAATGAGTGCTCGTGTGCCATGGAGAGCAAATCGAGAGAGCCTTACCTTTTTCCCGGTCAATACACTCCTTCTTTCTTCCTTGTCCTTCTCCTTTGAGCGTTCTCGTTCCTTTCTCTGCTTTCGTCGCTTTCTATCCTCCTCCTCCTCGTCATCCCGGCTCTTCTTTCTTCGCTTTCTATCCTCCTCATCGTCATCGTGGTCCTTGTCCCGGCTCCTTCGTTTGCTGCTCTTTCGGTCGCGTGTCGAAGAGGAGCCCTCATAGTCTTTGTCGCGAGAATACTCGTCTCTATCCTAATAGTTGTCGAAAGTTATGATTTGCATGACAGCACCTTCCGAGGTCAAAACCCGTTATTTCGGGAGGAATTTGAGGACAGACGTACCACCGAGTCGGCGCGGCGGTGTTCTCGACTGGGGCTTGAGCTCGACGTGCGATTGTGGCGGCGCTGCCCGCGAAGGATATAGTGCATGCTTCCCAAGTATTGAAAGAGACTGACAGATTCGTTTCCCTCCCTCTCCCGGTACGGACTGGGGCTCCTTCTCCGCTTGCTCTACCATCAGAAACAGCACTTGAGAAAGGTAAAATGAAGCAGGAGGGCGCGGCGCACATAATGTTTATCCTCGTATTGCGAGCGAGAGTCAGACTCCACACTTGGATCTCGGCGGGCACGTCTAACCTAGAGTAAAACGTAAACCCAGAAACTGGCGAATGTGACGGCGAAACCAACCGGTCTTTCCGATGATCTGTCTTGCTCGTTGCGGTTCCTTACTTGTCCGGCGTCGGCATCACCAGAAGTATGGGAGCGGGATCCAGAATCCGCATGGCGGGAAGAGCGGCCGTGGTAGTACGAGTTGTCTTCGTCCCTCTCAGAAACTGGAGACCGTTCTTTCATTCGCCATTGAAGCCGTGGTGTACACCGAGGTGGGTGGAAAATAGGATGCCAGAAAAAGGATAAAGGTGAGTCCCATTGGCTTGACTCTTTACTCGACGCATCTCACCAACTCGAGGTTTGGAGGATTGCTTTTCTTTGGGGGGCTGGTCCCACCTGGAAGAGTATCCCATGGTAAATAGTCTTGGATGGATAACGAGAAGAATATTTTGAACACGCAAACTCTGACACAGCTCAAAAGTGGTTTATATCGATATAGCACATTAAATTGGACGATAGGCACGTCTCGACTAGTATATCGGTTTAGTACACGCGCCTGTCATTATGCCTGTCATTGGGTAATGCACCTCCGCGCGAAAGCTGGGTTCGACTCCCAGGTCGAGAGTCTTTTTTTTATTTTTATTTTTATTTTTATTTTTATTTTTATTTTTATTTTTATTTTTATTTTTATTTTTATTTTTATTTTTATTTTCTTTTCGGTTACAACTTTAATCTCACTCATTGACTTCTTTGAAGTCTCGAAACACCTAGGAAAAGGCTTGTTTGAATTACATCGATCGAAAGATGGTACATATGCTAGGCACTGGGAAGCTATGACTGGCCACCCTGTCGCGCCTGCGCGAGCAAAGCCTCTGCGAAGTCTTGGAAATCACTCCTCTTACACGATCGACTGGGCTGTTTGGTGAGGTGAATATCATGCCTCTCATACTTACAGACGAGAGGAACGCACCTTGAAGGCATATATGACGGTCTGCGGTGCTGCAGACTCTGAGTCCGACTTATCCTGTAGCTCCTTCAGCGCGACACGCATGATGTTTTCCTGCGCATCGAAAGTGCAGCGCACGGTGGGCTGCATCCGCACGTTCATGGAGACCTTCCACAGCGGTTCCCGCCGAAAGACTTCATTTTTTTTCCTATTATTAACGCCCACGAGTGAAAACAGGAGGACGAACGCAATCGTTGTGAGAGGGTCGTTTTGTGGGAGAGGAGCTTGATATGGCCGACCATCCCACCTGAAAAATTATCCTCTCCACGCTTTACGTACATTTTGACGCCCTTGAGTTCCAGGATGGCGTCTTCGTCCTCTTCTCCCGTCAAGTCTGTCGACGTTTAGCCTGCCTGCGTGGATAGGTGTACTGAAATGTGCTAACGGGTTTGGATTGCGAGCGTCGAGGTCTTCGCGGCAGCGAGGGCAGGTAGTGAGTCGGTCTTTCCTTCAGATTCACCGTCCAAACTCGCCCCCGTTGCTTCAACGGCAGTGGTGCTCGCCCAAATTGGCCTGCTAGCAATGAAGGTTGTATCCTTCGACGAACTCATCGAGAAAAATGGCGACGAAGATCCAGCAAAATTGGCGAATCCTGGAGATGCTGTGGTCCGCTGAAGGTTATCTCAAAGTCAGCCTCTTCCAATGGTTGAGCGAATATGTTCTTACGGAGGAGGGGAATTGTATGATGCGTGGAGGAGTCTTCGGAAAGACAAACCGAGGTACCTCAGTTGAAACAGGTTCAGGCTTGGGTGTCTCTGGACTCGAGCTGCCTTCAACAGTGTCCAGGGGTGGTTCAGACGAAGCTGGCCCGGGTAAAACCGAGTCGGTTGCCGGGTTTGGTGAAGACGAAACTGGTTCGGGTATATCTGCGTTGGTTACTGAGTGCGGCTCTTCGTTGGTTGAAGAGTCACAGGGCTCTGGAATCATTTCCTTCTACGAAAGATAAGCTCCAAGTTAAAGCCACGATTCGTGGCGGGGAATGAACACGGACTGTGGCTTCGGTGTCCGAAACAGAACCACTTCGGCGTTTGTTTGGGTAGATCGACTTGAGATTCTGAAGAGGGGTCGCTCAAAGCGAGGACATAGGTCACCATGAAATTAACGAACATGTGGATACCCCATATCCTTGAAGGTGATATTGTCAGTGTCAACACATGGATTGACCTTTGAAAACGTACGGGATCTATGTCCTCCTCGTCCTGCGTACGCTTACGCTTTAACGGAATGTTGTCGGATATCGCTAGAGTCCCGGTTTCTAATGCGGGTTGCGAGGCGGGCTCGGAGGCGGCATTCCCACTGTTCGAATCGGATTCCTCCATTGATTTTTCGTCGGATTCGCCCATTGAACATTCCAAGACCATATTGCTCGATACCTCTGGAGCTGAATCCGATTTTGAACGATCCCCATGCAAAAGCTGTGAGCTAGCACGCCTGCCGAGAAGAGGGAAGTCTCAGTCCGATGTGAAGATCTTCATGACATACGACGGAAGCGGTCGAGCTTTTCGGGCGCAGGCGTAGCCGACAGTAGCAGCGAGTGTTGCGAATCCGCAACTCACGACAAAGTTGAAGTCTGTTACGGGAAGCATGGTTCGAGCTTGGATGCGACCCTAAGACGATGGTATGATCGGTGAGGCGGTAGCTGAGAGAGTGCAGTTGATAGAGCAGATACTTAGAGAAAGGCCTTTTAAAGCAGGATAAGGATGCCGTGCGCATGCGCCAGGCCTAGGTGCGTGATGGACTGGTGGCCTCGAGGACGGCCACGCGGTGTTGGTGCTCGATTCGACCGTTCAGACAGACAGAAGTGCATCCATCGCATTGTAGAATCATGGTGAAAGCCCAGTGACAAAGTTGACCCGGGTTGTTCGAGTTTCTTTGAGTTCAAACGTTCAAGCTTTGACACTCATCCCAACTTGCCTTGGAGGTACGATTCCAACGATACGGCCTTTTGATTTCCCCTACTCCAGTGATCGGTGCCCAAAGTCCAGTACCTTTCGAGGCTATTAACAGAATAACCACTGGAGTTCTGTGCAGCCGGCGGTCATGACAATAGTGCAGTTAATATTGCATCCACAGTGATCATGACACGGTGGCGTGACTTCGGAAACGAAAATTAACCCCATTGGGATGCTTCAATTAAATGAATTAACGCTCGGAATGCAAGAGAGAGAGAGGGAAAATGAAAAGAGGGCGAAAATGAAAGCCAAAAAAAGAAAAAAATCGCGAAGCTTCAGAGGCTCGATCCTCCCCCGGCCATCAGAAGGCTGACGCAAGCATAGGGCCTTTATTCAAGGCGCTTTTACCCTGTCCACTAAGCGTGGGTGCGCTTAACCGTTAAGCCATTGCACCCTAGTGGAATGTCCTACTAAAACCACTTCATCACACTCGAGCCCACGAGGTTCGACGTTCTTTTCAAGCTCGTCTCGTTCAAACTTCAAACCCACATGCCCGCAGAGATACGGATACGAAAAGTGACAAAACGAGTCCATCTAGCAATACTAAGGCGTTCCAACATCGTCGTCCAGTCAATGGGTGACACCGGTCCAGTACACGATCATCCACAGAACTAGCGAGTCACATCCGAGACTTGGGGAGTCGATGCCGTTGGGGAGGCGCCGAACGAAAGAAGATAGGGAGAGCGCCGCGGCCCTTTGCACGCAGAACAGCTAATTCATTTATCCCGCCATTGCGAGCATGGAGGGTACTGTACGAATTGTATCTATTTCAGCGCAGTTGCGAGTGCAGGCCCGGGGTGTCACGGTCTTTAAGAGTGGCGGAGATGGCCTCCATGTTGGCTGAACTTTTTTTTGTTCCCGATCGGCTGAAAAAGTCTCTCCAGATCACGTCTAGTGCAGAGGTAAATGACCGCCAGCGATAGCATTCAGAAACGATGCAGGTGCAGGCGTTCATACCTTGGCGCCGTTGAGCTTCCAAAGACACATATCCAAAGCTTTAGTGCAGTCTTGCGCACCAGACTCTGCCTGACCTTGCTGGTCCTCGTTCTTGCCAGTCGTCCAAACGTCCTCCAGGAGTCCATAAAGGTGGAAACAAAGGATCGTGATCGCGGCGGGCCGGTGGCGGCGGCCGGTCCTTGGCCGGGCTGATGTGAACGGTTACCACAACTCAACCACGACTTACAAGGCCCCACCTTTGAACAACATCCAAAACTTGGACAGGAACAATCTGAGTGTTCAACCGACCGGTCTGCATTTTCTCCGTTTCTCACTGCTGAGATGGCCGACGCTGTAATCCTTTCTGTTTTCGATTTTGTGGACACCAGGCGATAACTGCAGGATCCCCTACTGTACAGCTGGCTTGACAGGCACCACCGCGAACGATTTCCCTCGAAGACGGTCTGTTACAGCGTCGACGCCTGCTCCTGTCGTCAACACTGCTAACGCAGCTCGTCAATATTGCCAACAAACGCGTATCTATGTTTCTTTCGAGGCTCGAGCCAGTAGCCGCGCCCTTGCGCCCAATTTTCCTCCTGCTTCCTTTCATGGATGATGGAGATAGCTAGAGGATCTTCTGACAGCGAACTCGTTTCAGCAAAACGTTACGGGGGACGTTTGTCGCCGCAACAGAATCTGTTGTTCAGCACCGATGGGGCTCATTTTTGGGGTGCTCTGCTTCATGCTAGTACTGTACAATGGTCCGCCCTGCCGAGAAGAATAACCAACGGCACGGCTCGAGTCGTCGGGCCGTCGCATTCCGCGATTATGGTACCAGCCAGATGCGTCCTCTCCCCGACGTTATCTCAGTCCCATCTTGCCTGAGCCATCTTCTAGACCTGCCGACATCGAGTTCCCCCCTCTTGGTATTGCAGGAAGTCAACCTCCACGTCCGCTGTTGTATGTACCGAGACTTGTTCATGCAGCAGGCTTACTTATTCGAGAGTCGACCTGAGTTGATGGACTTTATTTCACCTTGAAGACCGCAAAGCGTAATGCTTTTGAATTTCATCTAGTAAAGACTGGTATATTTGGTGAGGAGGCTTAAGATGTAGAATTCCACGTATTAGCAGCCGTTTATGGCGGGCGTGTCAATGGTTTGAGCACTGGGCGCGTGTCGTGATTAAATCCCTTTTCCTTGAAAATTGAGAGAGCGCTTCCGAACTCTTGAGAGCAGACCAGAGTTGCGGTACCGGAATATATAAGTGTGGGTGGGTATGTATTGCGGAAACCGGTAAAAGTACGGGGCGCGATTTGGTTCCGTTTACCGGTCACACCTCCTCGGGAACTGACGTGTCTCCGGTCTTGTGGGATTGGACCAAGTCGCCGGTATAAATACTCAGCTCTCGTTATTGAATCCTGCACCTCTGCTTGCAACTATGCTCTCGTCCCGGCTTTTGCTCTCGCTCGTGTTCGTGCCGGCGTTCGTCTCGGCTGCCGTCTTCCCCCCGGACTCGCTGGTCAAGATGCTCGACGCAAAGTCGTTCAAGAAGGCCATGAAAGCGAACGTACGTGTCTCTTGTTCGCGCCCCCGCATTTGTTCTCATCTGGTATCCCAGCAAACTAGCATGGTTGCTTTTGTCGCTCCTTGGTGCGGGGTATGACCGAGTGCTTTCATTGCTTCCTATGATCCTCATACTTTCTCAGCACTGTCAACGACTAGTACCCGAA